GCAAAGTGTGTTCCAACATAATCCTCTAAACACTCTTACAGAACCAAGCGCGTCCCACGACCAAAATGGGCACAATCATGAGAACAGAACAACGTTTTGTTGGAATCTGTGTATGGTATACTATTGTTTACACAAATAACAATATAGTTTAAAGATATCGTGTTCTACTAAATAACCAGTAAAAAAGTTTACTTCATTATGGGATATGTTCAAAAGTGGAGACATTTACATGTTCTGTGCATGTTTTCAACCGTGGGATGTTGTCAACCGCCCTCTGAAATTATTTTTTCATTCATGTGGGAATTGTTAAAATTTTTGGTAATTTTAATAGGCATTGAATGGACCAACTTGAGTGTATTTATCAATTGGTACACTAATGATTTTAACTTTTAATTAATGAGCACATGTTCTCTTAAATGAGATAAATATTTTCATAACAATATGCCAAAAATGGTAGAGAGTGAATGAAAAATTGATTCTCAGAGTTAACCCATTAATAGAAAAATATGGTAAGGATTGCAATTTTGCAAATTGATTAAACCAATCTTCTATTATTATTTTTACGTGTTGTTTAAAATTAGTCCATTTTTAAAGAGTTAACTGGCCATTAATCTCCAATTATTCGTGATATATTTTTAACGAAGTGTAACGTAACAGATGTTAATGGGTACTTAATTACCATTAACATACCATTATTGTGTCACTAATTCCACTTAAGATGATAATGATCATTAAAGACTCATAATGGTGAAGGTTACATTTGATTAAGCTTTGCCTATTTAATTTAAAACTCTCCATGCTCTCTTGGTGAAATTTTCGTACATGAGAGATGAGAGAAATAGAAGGAAATTTTTTTCCTTATTATAAGAGAGAGCTCTTAGTTTTTCCGGCCAAATTTCCGATGATCCCTTTCAAGGTTTTCGACCGCCAACATTCCGACATTGTTCTTGTTCGTTGGTGTGTGGTTGGTTCCTACTATCACTACACACGATAGTAGTTTTATCTTGAGAGGAGAGTGCCCACATTTTTTCGGTATGGTAGGCGGACACTATTACTTTTAGGACAACTCTGGCAACTCTGGTGTCCTTCTTCGGTGTTTGTTTTTTGCAGGTTCAGATCATAGTTACCTCGTCGCATTCTGCCCCAAGTCGTAATGTCCTCGCAGGTGCTCGGCTTCTAGCCCTATTGTCCTCGCAAGTGCTCGGCTTCTAGCCCTATTGTCCTCGTTGTTGCTCTAGTGATCTCACCACTGCTTATAATGTCCTCGTCACATGCTTACTGATTCAGCCTGTGCATAATGTCCTTGCAGTCCAGTGCATATAATGTCTTCGTACAGCAAGGTCTTTTGAAGATCCAGAAGCCATTTCAGTTTTGTTTATTTTGTAATATTTTGAATAAATTATAAATTCAAAATTTTATTTAATATTGTTTTCTAGGGCCGTTCATCTTCTCTGTCCGTTGTAATCTGTACGACAATTGTAACAATATTTAAGAGACCACGATAGATTACAAACGTAGATCCTAAAAATTATGAGCATCTACATATTCTGAGGATCGAACACATGTTCTCTTATTTGGGAGAGCCATAACAGTGCCTTTGGACTACAAGGTCCTTTTAATAAATAAGCTTAGTTAATAAATAAGTTCTTTTAAACTTTTAAATACTAGCCCGGAGTACAAAATAGACTCAATCTCAATGAAAGTTTACTTTAGCGTATTTCACTTCTGTCCAATTGATTTACCATTCTTTCATTAATTATTATTTTTATTTAACTACTTCTCATTATTTTAATTTTCATAAATAATTATTATTCTATTTAATCACTATTTAATTAATTCTCATTATTTTACTTTTCATAGATAATTATTAGTTACCTTTTAAAAATCTTATTATTTTATTAATCATTGTTTTACTTTGTATTTAATTTCTATACACAGTAAGAAATTAAAAAGAGTTGAGAGAAAGAGTGTTAACAAAGATAATGAGTTAAAAATACATGAAAAAATTGGGAGAAATTGGAAAAAGGTTGAAAAGTATTGGAAAAAATAAAAACTATTGAAATAAATATTATATTTGGTTATATGTCCCATATGTAGTAAAAAAGTATTGAGAAGCTATATTTTGTTTTTAGACTCTCTACAGTATTTTAGAGGCTAAAGTTTTTAGTGGAACTTTAACCACATCATCTTTATTTAAGATTTCAGGCTATTTTATGTTCTCTCCCCTCTTTCTCTTTCTATAAAAGGAAGTATATGATAATTAGTTCACATTCTGTTAAATTTATTTTTTCAAGTTATTACTTATTCTGATTAAAATTAGATCAAAACATATCATATCAGATCAAAAATAACTTTAAATATAAATACAATCGAATTAGACCAGACTAGATCATAGGTGAACAAAAAGTAGCTTTAGGCTGCATTCTGTACGCCTGATCTGATTTGATTTTTGAAGATTATGTCTAATCTGATTTAATAAAATCTGATCTGGTCTGATTGAATCTAATTTGATCTGATTAGATCTAACCTAGTTTAAACTAATTGGACCTGATATGGTCTAATCTGGTTGTAGGTTTATTTAAAGTATTTCTAATCTGATATGGTCTAATTTGATTGGATCTGATATGATCTGATTTATAAAGGTTCTAAAACTTAAAATAGCTTATGATCTAAATTTCGAAAAGTTTCTTGGAGCACCAAAAAGGGTAGAGTAGCAGCTACTCCCTTCGCCCGAGAAAGAACATCCCTTTTTGACTTTTGGTGATTTTTATGGAGTCTTGACTATAAGTGGAAATGTCCAAAATACCCATGACCACCACTGCCCTAGCTCCCCTGCTAGAGGGAGCACCCACTAATGCCCTAGTTCCCACCATCGCCCGCCCTGCTGCCCCAGCTCTGACCGCCGATAGCCTCATCATCACCCTCAGTCACACCATGATCCCCAGTCGCTATCATCACCATCTCTAGGAGAAAGAGAAAAAAGAAGGGGGGAAAAGATGAGAAGAAGATTAAGCACATATCTACTGTAGATCCACCGCCACCTTAGCTCCCACCACCGTCGTTTGCTCCATCATCATTTGGTCCATCCACCGTCACCTCAGCCTCATAGACCTAGCACAAATCTAGAAGAAAAAGAAAAGGGGGGGGGGAAGAAAAGAAGAAGGCGTATGAACACAGTGGAGAAAGAAGGATGAGGAGGAGAAAAAGAAGATAAGAAGAAGAAGAGAATAAGAAGGGGGAGGACTGCTTCTTTGGTGTATTTTGGGTACATATTATTTTTGTACACTTTCTCACATAAAAAATCTTTTTTTACTTTTTAATTAAAAGGAAAATTTACCCAAAATAATCCCAACTTTACTCGTTCTTTCAAAAATAATCCCACCTTTCACTGTGATGCATAATAATCCCAACTTTACTGAAATTTGCCAGTTTTGGGTCGCCGTTATGTTTCTAACGGAGAGATAACGGAAATGCCCGTTTTAGGCAACAAAATGAAAGTTGGGATTATTTTTGATGAATTTTTGTTTTTTAGTTTTTTTTGAAATTTTTATTTAAATTTTTTGAATTACTTTCAACCTCCATTTCTTTTTCTTTTTTAAAGATTATTCTTACCTAAGAAAAAAAATAGATATAAAAAATAATGAAAATGAGAAAAATAACTAAAACCATACAAAATTAATCAAATAGATAATGTAATGAATAGAAACTAAACAGAAACTGGTAAGAAATAAAATAAATATATATGGAGTCGTGGGTTTAACATTTTACACACTATACGGAATCTTAATGTACTACTTATTTTTTAAAAAAACAAGCCGTCCGGTAAAGTTGGAATTATTGTAGATAAGTTTTTCTAAAAATAAGAAGTGATATGTTAATACTTTGTATAATTTTTGTATCATTTTAGTTACATTTCTCATTTTTTCATTTTTTATATCTATTATTTTTATTTTTTAAACTAAGACTAATCTTTAAAAAAGGAAAAAGAAATGATGATGGAGGTAGAAAGTAATTTAAAAAATTTAAATGAAAATTTCAAAAAAATTAAAAAACAAAAATTCATCAAAAATAATCCTAACTTTCATTTTGTTGCCTAAAACGGGCATTTCCGTTACCCCTCCGTTAGAAATTTAACGGCGATCCAAAACTGGCAAATTTCAGTAAAGTTGGGATTATTATGCATCACCGTGAAATGTGAGATTATTTTTGAAAGACCGGGTAAAGTTGGGATTATTTTGGGTAATTTTTCCTAATTAAAAAAAGAAATGTTTATTTAAATGGTAAAGAAATGTTTATTTTAAAAAAAGAGAGAGAAAGAAGGAAAAAAGAAAATGGAATTTAATGAGAAGGGTAATTTAGGAAGAATTGAAATGAAAAGATAGAATGAGAAAAATATTTTTGGGTAGAATTGAGATGAAAAGATAGAATGAGAACAAATTATTTATAGATGGGGATATAATTTATAGGACCATGCTAGGGTGCCACTACATGGGTGCTATCATAGGTGTACCCATGCTTCGCATAGACAAACACAGACGATAATTGTCTGTGCGACGCAGGCAATTATCATTTGTGCGAAGACACCCTAGCATTTTCCTAATTTATATATACTCAAAGCATATCCAACTCCAAGGGATCCTAGCGCCGGCAATGACGACCATTTGTAGTTTAATCTCTTCCTTATTAACCCTTAAGAATACTGGCGCGACACCCAGTACCTCCAAAGCTTGTTGCATTCAGATAAGCTGTATTTGCCCATCCTCTTTCAACCGTCGTGGTACCCTCGGAATCAGACACTGCGGCGGCAGCTGGGGAAGGAACTGTGCCATTAGCACCGGCGGCTGGAGCCCTAATACGTGGAGCTGCCTGCTCTTTTTACCTGGCCATCATGATAGCTTCGTCTCAGAGGAGGATGGTATAAGCGCATTTCTTCAGGTGCCTTTATTTTCCATTTCGTATCTGATTTGATTTCGAGTTTTTGTGGAGTGTGTTATCTGATATGCCATTAAGCTTTGATTCCTCTTCACATTGAATTGTCTGGCGTTTTTTTGGTATTTTTCCTCATTTCATCTTTTGTTCTATTAGATTCTTCCTAACGATTTGAGGGACTCTCTGTTGGCCGACTGTAGGCTAGAGCAGCTGCTAGAGGTGATTTCGCTTCCTTATTTCTTGCTCTTAGATGCCATTGTTGAACCTTCCTTTGCTTGATTTGATAATGATACTGTTTGAATTTGGAATGTGAGTAGTTGGTACAGCTTTATTTCTCTGGTCGTTTGGTTTCCCTTCCAAGATTCGTTTACACTATGTTTGGTTAGAGGAATTTGGAAGAAAAAGAAAAGAAAATGATTTTCTCCCATCTTTCTCACCAAAATGAGAGGAATTTGGTTTTCCCTCCTCTTAATATATTTTGCTTTCCCATTTTCTTTTCCTTCCATTTTTCCTTTCCTTTCCTCTCTAACCAAACAAGAAAACCTATTTTCCACTTCATTTTCTTTTCTTTTCCCTTTCAAATTCCTTGAACGAAACATAGTGTTACGGGCTTCATGTCCCCTAATTTTAGTTATCTAGTAGAGTTACCCTGCTGCAAAAATGTGATAAATCTATGGAGATTGTTAATTCTTCCAATCTACTTGTGGATTTTTTTCTACCCAATTGTGTAGGTTTAGGCAAAGCGGACTATGGATTTGCTCGTCAGTGAGTATTGCATTACCAACCATAGTGATTTCTAGTTAAGTTAATTCATTGTTCATTGCATGCTACGCAGGTGATATTGGATTTGGGCCGTTTACCACAGGCACAATACTTGGGTGATTTTGGTAGGAAGTGGCTAAGAAAAACTGAGGTAAGGTCTGAAGAAGCAGATATTTTCTTTCAAAAATCAATTGATAGAGTTTTAGGTTAAGATAAATAGTGGACTAAATCATGGTGATACATTAAAATTCTTTTGCTTCATACTTCCTAGAGGAAACCTCTTTTTTGCAGGGGTAAGTCTACATCTTGACCCCCACACCCAACTGAGTTGGGATTATACTGGGTTTCAATGGCTTGATTGTATATTATTCCACTTAGGTGAGTTTATTTTTAATCAATACTTCGTCTTGTCTAATTGATTGGTAGTTTTTAAACACTCTCCATCTCCTTTGTACAAAATGGAATAAAATAAACAGAATGAATTAACATTGAAGAATGAAGATTATACTGTATTTAGTTTATACTTGAAGCTGAAGACTTCTGTTTTCTATCAAGGTGTCACTTGAAGACCTTGAGTACGTTCAAAATGCAGTTGGACAATTCGGAGGCGACAACCGAGCCGGAATCGAGGGTAGCTTGCACCGGGTTTCTTCTATTAAGAGTAGGCAGGGGGAAGTCATTGGGTTGACTTGCCGAGTTGGTAGGGCAGTCAAAGGTCAGATTGACATGGTCAGGGATTTGCTTGAATTTGGTGAAAGCATCTTGTTTCTTGGAAGGTGAGTGAGCGACATACATGCTCATATTGAAGGAACCCTTCCGGTTTCTGATGATGCCACTATTTACATCATTGGGAAGGACACTATTTCCTCAACATTTCCACTAAGCATCCATGTCCAGAAAAGAGATTTAATGTGATTTATCCTCCAGAATTGAATATATTGAATTTAACAGGCCTGCTGTTGGCAAAACTACAGTACTGAGAGAGTTATCCCGTGTCTTGGCTGACGAGCTTCATAAAAGAGTGGTTTGTCGAGTTTTTAATTAAAACAAGGTTTTCATTGTTGTCTATTTTAAGGATTTCTATTTCACCAAATAGTTTGTTATATATAGATGTATTTTGTGTTAGGTGATTGTTGACACCAGCAATGAAATAGGAGGTGAGGGGGATGTTCCACATCCAGCAATAGGGGGTGCAAGAAGACTGCAGGTAAAAAATCCTTCTATGCAGCACCAAGTGATGATAGAAGCAGTTGAGAATCACATGCCTCAGGTGATAATTATTGATGAGATTAGCACTGAAGCTGAAGTTCATGCATGCCGTACAATTGCTGAGAGAGGAGTTATGCTTATTGGCACAGCTCATGGAAAGAAACTGCAGAATATAATAAAAAATCCAACTTTATCTGAATTGGTCAGTGTTGAACTTTGTAATATTTGGGGCGATGATTGCTAATGACATGTCACACTTATCATTTTTGTCTGTATATTTTGTTCATTCAAGTTTTCTCTTACCTCAATATAGTTCACTATGTTTTGAGCCTAATTGGTCTTTAATAAGATTATGATTTATTCACAATTCAGTTTTCACTTTGTGGCCTTGTTTCATACTTTTGCAGATAGGTGGTCTAGAATATGTGATTCTGACTGATGAAGAAGCTCGGACTAGGAATAGCAGGAAGGGTGTTCTTGTGAGGAGAGCTCCACCAACATTTCCCTTTCTCATTGAAATAAGAGAGAGACACTATTGGGTTGCACATAGGGTTAGTTGGCAAACTTTATTTCAAGATATAATAATGCAATGCAGTTCATACATGATTGCTCTTTCCATATAATCATACATAGTACAATAGTTTGCTTCACCAACATTTTGGAGTCCTTGTATTAAGATTGATTGGCGTCTGTCTTCTGCTCCCATGTAGTGTCCATGTGATTTTTTCATTTCCTGGAAGAGAAACTATTAAACAATTAACCTTTCCTTGAGAACTATATTCTTCTGTATTCCTCTTTTTTCATTGTTAACTCTACTTTTTGGTTCCTTGAGTATAGTGGCAATTCCAAATCTGGGTTACAACTTCTAATATTTACGTATGTAGTCAGCTATTTTCAATTTTTTTTACATTCAGTCTATAATATCTTATTGCCCAAACTTTTTGGACATTTAACCAAACTGGAATCTTTCAGCAAACAATACTGGAGTAGTATTCAACTTAGATGACTTAGCGCTTCAAACTTGAAGGGATTGAATAGATCTGAAATAGCCATTATGCAGACAAGAATTAACTCTTCTTTGCCCATAATGCATCCTTTTTGTTTTCTTGATTGCCCAGACCGAGAAAAGTGTGGATGCTTTGCTTTGTGGAAGAAAGCCAATCGTTGAGGTATTTCACCTGTGTTGCTAGGATTTATGAATGAACCCACCTAACCTTTTATTAATATTAACTTCATTCCAGTGGTTCATGTTAAGGTCTACTTAAGAGTCATGGCTAAAATTTTACAAACATAAATTCCTTAAATGTGTACCATCAACAAAAGGGGGAATCAATTAATTCTCTCTAATAGCCTGTTGTTTAGAAGCAAAATGGGCCAAACTAGTATTTTCATTACATAACACAGATATTACAACACACAAACGAACACTTGTTTTTCTCTAAATGAAGCTGCTGCTTCGTTTCTATCTCAACCCATACTACATGCACATTTGTTTTTTCTCCCATGCATCTCGCAATATGTCTTCTTTCCTTTTTCTTTCCTCTCACACCCTCATATCACGCGTACATATATTTAGAAAGACAAGTCAAAAAGTGTTGTTATTGTCTCTAAAACTTTGCAGGCATGCATTTTCATAAGATTTCCAATATTGTCTCCTCACTTCCTTTGCAATAAAATAAGCATCCCAACATCTTCTTCCAAGTGTTTTTTTAGCCTCCAATTTTTACTCGAATATATAGTCATGTTTGGTTTCCAATACTACTTTCAAGTAGGGGTAAGGTCTGGTACAGACACGCACCCTCCCTAGACCCTACTTTTTTGGGATTCAACTGGGTTGTTGTTGTTTGGTTTCCAACACTCTCCCTCAAAATTGTTTTTTTAATTCCGAGCCTCTCCAATCATCCAAATCTTATATGCGTACCACATTTTTCATGAGCTTTGCTTGTGACTATATATCTCTTTCCTCCATTTGAAATATAATCCCATTTGTCTTTGATTCACTTGTTGCCTGTTCTCTTGTTGTCCTATGAAGATTTTCTAACGTTTTTCAGCCTATTCTTCTTGCCATTATTGTTTCCATCACTTTTGTAGCATTGGAGTTTTTTTCATTAGCATATGACACAAATTTTGTGACTGGAGACCATACCCATCAAGTGCCCATTTTATACTGAGTTTCTTTTGAGATATTATCTCTTATTTTTGACGACTATTGTTCATGAAAGATACAAGCTTTGTAGCACTTGGCAAAGATATCGAGCATTAAGAATTGTGCAGAGTTCGAATCACCATCATTGTCTTGCTCCCCCATCATGTTAGTATTTCTCTTGTTGATGTCTTCTTCTGCATTTTCAACAACATCAATAGAAGAATTTTGTTCTTCCATCTCTTGTTTATCAACTTCCTAACAGTCAGATGTTACAGACTTACAACGTAATCCTTGATCATTTCAAAATCTAGTTCATCTAAATTATATAAGCTTCCAAGATCTCAATCCCCACTCTTCTCATCAATAAACTCGTCTTCTTCAGAATTTAACTTCTCTTAGGCCCCGTTTGGTACACGGAATTCAAACTATGGAATTGGAATTGAAGACTTCAATTCCAATTCTGGTGCTTGGTAGCTCAAATATAATGTGGATTTGGAATTGATAGTGCAAAATATGAATTGGAATTGGTGAATTTAATTCTATGAAATTGAATCCCATGGAATTTCAATTCCAATTCTATCAATTTCGTATACCAAACAGACCCTTAAGGAAATTTATGATCTCTCTCTCATTCATCCTTCTCTACCTCTAGAGCTTCACCATATTCTGGAGCTAAAACCTCTTTGTTTTTAGTTTTCTTCTCTCTATTGTCCTTTTTTGTCCTTCACTTTCTGCTTATCTTTTTTGCCATTCATTTCTTCGCTTTTCTCTTCAGTCACGTGTTCAATAACTTCTCCTTTTGTCTCTTCTTCTTCTGAGGATTCTTTAGTTTCTACACCTTTATAAAACAACTATAAGTTCGTCCATGCATCTTTGGCTATTATGCCCAATACTGAGCAATCAATAGCCCGATGGATTTGTGACAGTGCTAATTGATCATCATCTGAGTTACTTTCTCAATCCCACCTTGAATTCTTGGTTCGGTGAACTTCCAAATATTGTGAGTCTTCAAATGGGTAGGCATCAAGGTCTCCCAAAAACTGAAATCAAGGTTCCTATAAAGTTTAGGACATATATGAAAAATTGATATAAAATTTTATGACAACAAATATTTAAATATAATATTTTTTATTTATTAAACTTTTTTATTTTTTAATTTTTCAGCAAGTATATTATCTTGTGCTCTTTTTGTTATATTATTTAAGGAATATTCAAAAACTCTCACTTCAGATTATCCATTAAAAGTAAGCTGATGGTTGATACATGTAACCAAATTAATGAGTTCAATTATTTAAAAAAAATTGGTGTTATTTTGATTTGATCCTCTCTTTTATTTTCTTGTTGTCCCAAATTAATGAGTTCAATTACCCGTTTCTTTTTTTAGCATGCACATTTACTTCTTTTAAGTTAATGTACATATTTACTGCATTCCACCTAAGTTTTATCAAACCCCAAAAAAGTAGGCATGTGCATTTTTACAGAGTAGTGTCTTTTTATTCTTAGTTTCCGTGTCATTTTCACATGGGATGATAATTTTGGGACGAAAGGAGTATGTTTCTTATGAAGAATCGTCTAGTGTAAGTTATAAATATTAACTCTAAAGAGTTCCAATGAATTTTGGTTAAACCATGCTGGGGATTCTTTTGTTACGGAGACTAGTACAGTAATTATAACCATGCTGGGGATTCTTTTGTTACTTTTAAATTGTCAAAAAAATGAAACTGAGTTAAATTTCATATGATACGGTTTCTTGAAAGCCTGAATAAAGCAAGTATTTGAGATTGTCGTTGATTAGCGTGGATGAGGCTAATGTAATACTCATTCTCCTGAAAAAAGGCTCAACATTTTTCGAGATGTCACAAAGTAAGGTTCTGCATTATTCTTAAGGAAAATTGAGTGGCCCATATTATTTCGTTCTCTGTTGCACAAATATAAACAATACAGCTAAGCATAAACCACACAATTTAACCTTTCTTAATAACTGTGTCAGCTCAAGTTTGTAATCTCATTCTGGGACGGGGGGAGTAGTTTTTTGTTTTGCATGGTTGACTTTCTTCAAGTATTATGTTTTGAAATGTGTCGCTTTAGCAGGTTAGGAAGAGAGATGAACAATTCAAGTTGGTGATTCAGAGATGGAAAATAGATGATTGAGTCTCTTGTACGCAGTAGAAATATTTTTGCAAGTCATGACTCAAACATATATGGATGTTTGGGTCAAAAGTGGAATATTCAGAAATGCATCTCTTGTGCTCATCATGAATGGTAGTGACATTCTATGCACAAATGTTCCTTTGAGTTTAACTGTCATTTCCTTGCAAGGCACCAAGAAATTTTTTTTTGGGCAGTTTTTTCAACCAAAGATTTAAGCACTCATAATGAAAACCCATTATGAATGTGCACGGTAAAATTCTGGATTTACCAATATTTTAATGTTGGGTACCTTCAATTTTGTGACAAGAACTCTTGAATCTCATCGTTTTTAAAAATATATTTTGAGGCACCCTAAAACATCCAAAAATTAACTCTGGAAGGAGTTTTTGTCCATCGCGCCGTCATATTTGAAATTTTTGTACATCCATTCACGATGATCAACTCCACTCATTATAGCAATATCAAACACTATTGATAACAATAGACTCATAGAATGAACACTTCAAATTACTTATCAACAATTCAAAATAATACACAAAACAATTGAGTTCAAAGTAACTTTGTCAAACCGTTATGACTACGTTGCATATCACAACCTCTACGACTTTGCATAATAAATAACAAATATGTCGTCAAAATTCAAACTCCACGTATTTTCAACTATTTAGAACAACTTATAATTAATAAAATATTCGTAATGACAATTGGTGAAAATTTCAATTCAAACACATATAATTTAATAAAATAAAAATAAAAACTTTATATTTGAGGCGAACGTTGAGGTGACAAGAGGCTGGCAGCAAAGACCTAGCTTTTGTGGATACTCGCGCTGGGCAGCAAAGCGGACAACGTTGGCTAACTATGGGAGGGATTTGTCCAGGTGCAGGCAAATAGTGCTTCCTTGACTTCACATTCTCGAAACGAATGAAGCAAAGAGGCATTCTGCTCGACTATAGCCTTCGACCTGATTCCGTGAAAGAAATCTGAGCTGAGCACCCCATTAGTCTAGAAAATGGCCTTAGGATAATTAGGAATCACCAAGTAGACATTTGATCCTTCGCACCACACCACATCCAAATGTCGCACCCTCTGTATAAAATCTTCTTCCGACGATGTTATGCATACTGATGGAAAAAATGTGTGTTCGCATCAGCCAATTCAAGCCAATGTTGCTTTGCACCCTGACGCAAATAGATCATCTTGCTCTAGAACTTTATTTAACTCATCCTTAATCTTATTAAGTTTTTGTAGACCCTCAATGTCTCAATACCTTCTTCAAAGCCTAACCAACCTCCTTTTTTAACTCTTGTATATGGTTCAAGAATTTATGGAAGCGATCTCCTCCCAATACCAAGATATGCCGACCATGTCTCTCCAACCGTTGGGGCAGCGTGAGTCCAACCGAACTTAGCCACGAGGAGCAAATCGCAGTAGGTCTTACAACGTTCATCTCTTAACCAGGCATTCTCAAACATGATCTCATGTGGTCCCTGAAGTAGAGAATGACGGAAAGGGACAAAATAGGGTCGAATGATCTGAGTGCCGCATGACAAATTACACACACAAACATGTGGAAAGTAATTTTTCAATCATGAGTGTCGACTGCTCTATCTATCCTCTCCTCAACCCAATATTCTTTCCCTCGCCCACACTCCCATGTAAATGGGTAGCCTGGCCACGATGTAGCAAAATTTTGTTGACATCATCACTCAATGACTAGGGTTATAGATTGCCTCCACGCTTTCAGTTGGCAAACTCAACTCAATAAAATTGTCGTGACCAATGCTGATTTTTTTTCTTATTTTGGACTTAATATCTTAAATGTTATTGTTGTAAATTATAAATAATCATTGTATAAAAACTTTCTTCACAATAAAAATACTTGTTTTTGTAAAAGTGTTCATAAAAAGTCTACTCTAAATTAAATATGTAACTTCATAGCAAATGTTGGGTCAAATCAGAGGAAAAATCTTGCAATTGTTAAAAGGAAAGGAATTTATTTGATCATTTTCAGGCTTGTGGAGGAAAATTGAATTTTGGACAGAGTTCCAGTCCAAATCATTGGTCTAGAATCTAGATGCACACTCCATTTTTGTCGAGCACCAATTGAATCTAACGATCCACTTCACGCTTTGATTTTCTCCATCAATTATTTCATAATGCATTTGGCCAAAAGCAGGGTAGAAATTTAACGCCATAAAACTATGGATATCCAAGTGGCAACACAAGTATCTACTTTGATGCGCTCTTTGGTCTTCTGAGCCTCTATATAAGGAGAGAAAATTGGCCCTTATTCAACACACTTATCAATCACCTCCCTCTAATCTCTTCTTATAATTTCTTCCAATTCTAAACTTTTTGTTTTTGTAATATGTTGGCGTTCTATTTCGGAGCCTGTTCAACTTTTGAATTATTTTATCCTGCCTTTTACGGAGGTTATAAGATTTTCATAATATTTTAATGAAATATTACTCTTTTCATTATGTTTCTAGTTTATTATGGGTTAAGACCCGGACCATGAGTATGGGTTAAAAAAATAGTTAATCCAAATGATACCCCAACCCAAAGTCGACTCTTATACTCAAATGATATCCTGATCTGAAGTCTAGTCCTCTGTGGGTGGCCATAAATTCTAAAAAAAACCTCGAAAAGTTTCTAGCAGCCATAATATTAATTCTGCATTAGAATAATAGATTGTTGGATGGGTTTAGGCAAAGTCAAGATAAGTCCCAAAAATTGATTGGTAAGCTCAAAAATCAATTCTTATAGGTTTGTCAGAAAGTTTGAAAGTTCACTCGAAGCAAGATAATAATCATCCTTGTGGATATTCGATTTTGTATTTGTTCATGAAAAAACTAAACTTTTCAAAAATCAACTCATAACAAGAACAATCGACTACTCAGACCTTAGTGTTGAATATGTGAGCCGTAGAGGCCAGTCTATGAATAAGTATCTGAATATTTATCAAGAATAGAAGCCCTAAAGATTGTTTATACATTTCGTGTATCTAAACATGGCTTTAGTCCATTGACTTAGCGCCCTGGTAGCCTAGATTAGAACTACGATATTCTGATTATGAGACTGTTACATTAATAGAGGCTATGTCTAAAATGTCCTTAGTCGAATATTATGATAATATGGAAGTCATAATATACTAAAATTAATACATATGAGACAAGATAGTTGCGTCTCATAGGCTATGGATATTGTGATATCTCAATCTATACGTAGGTACATATTTGGGATATGGACTGGACTTCCCCACCATGAGAATACTATATGGGTATTATTTTAATGTGCTAGTAGTATTCTCATTCGACCATTGGTATAACTATGCTTATACTTGATGTCATTACGATCTTTAATATGAAGACCTACATGCTTTGATTAATGACTAATGTCATCTGAAATATTGGTGGACGTACAATTATTTTTGGGTATGTAGTTAAGCACATGTAAAGGCATGAATGACGTAGAAAGAATTTAACCCTTCCATTGTGATGAAGTGCAATGTCTTCGGGCCCACTGATTGGTGTGACTTGGGAAGTGTATAGTCATGCCAGATAAATTAATATATGTGATATTAATGTTATTTGAATCCCACAAGTCAATCTAAGAATCAGTAAACTAATGATTTAACTACAACAAGGTGACACTTCTCATACCTTGTGTTAAATTAAGACGTTAGAAATAAAGGGATAAGAGTTATACAAATGAATGTGTTGTTGGAGGTATTATTGCAATGAACGTTATGTTTATAACTTGGATAGTGATAATGTGTTGTTAGATACTGCTTATGATTTATAATACTAATTGTAAAGTAATATTATTGCCAACTTTATGAATAACTAAAAAGGTCACACACATAGAATAATTGAACGGAATAAAATGTTTATAGTGAATAATACTTGGAAATTATAATTTAACATATATATATATATATATATATATATATATATACACACACACACGCACACATATATATACACACACACACACATACATACATACATATATCGTGGTTTCTAGGGCTGTCAACGGATAGTCGAAAATCCGATTACCGTCCGCATCTGTATCCGTTTAGAGAGGAAATATCCGCATCCGTTTTAAACGGATATTATCCGTATCCGATTAAAGATATCCGATTACTAAACGGATACGGATTTGGTAATTGTATATCTGATCCATTTAAAATCTGATCCGAATATGCATTCGTTTAAATAACCGTTTATCCGAATATCCGATCCGTTATATATAGTTTTTCCTAATTTTTTATGTTTATATTTTGTTTCTCTATTGATATTTCAAAATATAAGATATTTTTTAATACAAAATAAATGTGTAGACACATAAAAATATGTACATACATATAAAAATATGTGTATATATGTAATGTGTATATCTTTTTATCATATGAAGTTATCGTAGAATATCACAAATCATGAAAACAAAGAAAATAATTTTCTCATAACAAATTATAGTTGATTTAATAATAGTTTGGCTTTAATCAAATTTAAAATTAAAGTACTTTTTAATTTGATTTTAAAAATTGGAAACGGATACGGATATATCCGATATCCGACCGATATCCGACGGATGCGAATACAGTTTTGATTTTTAGTATCTGTCAAGATCCGTATCCGAATTCGATATCCGACAAAAATAAACGGATACGGATTTGGTAATGGCACATCCGATCCGATAAAAATCCGTTTACACCCCTAGTGGTTTCCCCCTATAGAGATGGTCACGGGGTGGATTGGCGAACCACACCACCCGAGTTTGATCCCTAGAATATGCAAATTTGGAGGAATTTTAAAGAGTTAAGCGTGTTGGCATGGGAGTAGCAAAAATGATGGATGACCCTCTGGGAAGTAGACTTGGGCTTATGGGGCTGGGCTTTAGATTGGGCTTACTTTAGGCTTTCCATAGTGGGTTATCTACCTCGGGTGTTAACGGGCCCCGGGGTAGTCACAAGGTTAACGGGCCTCAGGCCCCCTGCTTGTAACCGACTAGGGGTGGGCGAAAAAACCGAACTAGCATGGTACCATTCCCGGACCGTAAAGGTACCGAACCGTTTATGGTGTTTTCAAACGGGATTGATTTTTTTCATCACGAACCGAAACTGAACCGATACCAAATGGGACGGGACCGTGATACATATATTTAAAACCGATTATCACGGACCGAACT